TTGTGCAGTGTTTGTATGTACATTCATAAAACGTTTCACCCTTATTATATCACAATTTCTATCATACCCAGCTGTTAATTTCCAAGGACATCCTTCAATGGTACATACTATTCTATAGTAACTCTGACTACTTTGCAGATACTTTACTCTAAAGTGGTTTGTCAGAGCAAAATGAGCCACTGATAGCTTAAAATCATTTGTACTATCAAATAATTGCCCTGTAATACCCCTAATTTTAAAAAGGATATTCCTGGTATTTAATTTGTTATTTAAGTGCATTTTATTTGACTATGTGTCATTATTTTTTTTATTAGGTGCTTAATTGTTTTCTTTTGTGGTGATTTAATTTATTTAAATGATATGTATTTTTAGTTTGGAATTACTTGTTAGTGTTTTAATTATTTAATTGGCATTAATGGTTTAAGTGTAATTAGTTTAATTATTCTATGTGTATCTTATTTTATGTGTGTCTTATTTGGTTTAATTGGGTTTACTAATTGTTATTTTGTTCAATTAGATTATTTGTTAAGTATTTAATGGTGAATAGGGTAATTAGGTAAATACATCTAACTAGGGTTTTAATTACAGTATATATTAGGGTTTTATATTATAGCCGTCGTAGGTTTCTACGTTAATTGGATGGGCCGGTTAGGATTGTGAGTTGGACTTAAATGAACCTAGGGTTTAGAAAAACTCTATAAGTATAAGGTAGACGTCTGTGTAGGGTTTTTTTAAACAAAGCACACGTTTTGTGGAAGTAGAGAAGGAAAAACGCAGTTTTTCACATTTTGCCAAGGTTTGATCAAAGCTCCGATCCTGCTTCGTCCGTGGTCCGATCGAGCTGAATTTTGGAGGAGAGGTTCACGACTCAGTGATGCACAATCTGAACGGTGGAGATCAGAGTTTGACCTCGGGAACAGTGATTCGTACTCGTGAACAGTAACTGGGTCGCACAGGTTTTTTTCCATTCTGCCCAAATTTCATCAAACATCCGATCCTGCTTCGTCCGTGGTCCGATCGAGCTGAATTTTGGAGGAGAGGTTCATGACTCAGTGACACACAATCTGAACGGTAAAGGTCAGAGTTTGACCTCAGGAATAGTGATTCATACTCGTGAACAGTAACTGGGTCGCACAGGTTTTTTCCATTCTGCCCAGATTTCATCAAACATCCGATCCTGCTTCGTCCGTGGTCCGATCGAGCTGAAATTTGGAGGATAGGTTCATGACTCAGTGTCACACAATCTGAACGGTGAAGATCATATTTTGAGTTCGGGAATAGTGTTTCGTACCCGTGAACAGTAACCGGGTTTTGAAACTCGCCGGGATTTTTTAAGAAGACGACGTTGAAACTTTGAACAAGAGTTTATGAGGCAAGATTCTATCCTTACTCTTTCCCTTAGGCTTCATACTCTTTGCACTCTTAAATGATTTCAGGATTAATGAAGATTGAACCAAACTAAAATGATATCTGTTTTGCTATGAAACTGGTAGTTACAGTAGTGTTGTATGCTTGTTCAACCTAGACTAAGCATGTTTGTGGATGCATTGTGGTTCTGTGGTTCACGTTTTTCCTTACCACTGCTAGTATAAATTATTGGAAGGATGGGTCTAGATGATAGCTATCTTAACTTATGTAATAGCAACTGTTGGAACTTAAATACTAGGAGGATTTGAGTTTAACACTAGATCGGTTTTGTGGAACACTATAATTTGAGCATGTCTACATACATACTGTGAATATTATTTTGATGCTTATATTATCACAGTTAGTATCAACTGTGGAGGTTAGGATTTTGTGATACATACCCTACATATCTGTATGTCATTTGTAAGGTGTTAAATGGAAGTTTTAATTAATTCTGTCTTTATATCAGACTAAAGGGAACAACTTAAATTGGGCATGTATATGTTGTTGTTGTGACCCTGTTTATCAATGCTTATTTTATCACTGCAAACATTGAATGTTGGATGTTGGAATTTAGTTGATATATACTTGATTTATTGGTATTATTGACTACTGGAGGATTGGAAAGTAGGCACCGGTATGGGACGGTGGCATACTAAGGATGGGTTTGGTTTTTAAAACAATACCATTACCCACCTACTTGGAATAAGGATGGGATTAACTAAAAGTTAAGTCCCGTGAATTTGTATTGTCATGGCAACTACTTGTTGAGCGGCAATACCAGGGATTTTGGATGGATTTTATATATGTACTGTTATGGTGCCTCGGTATGAGCTTGAGCCTCAGGACCGATGGCTAGGGAGAGTATATGCATCGGGATGTGTAGCTGGCTACGATGGTTGGAGGTGTACCCTGTTTAGGTATAGGTACATATGCCCACTTCGTGTGCGTTTTAGTATGTTACCTCTATTCAGGTTAAGACCGCCCTGTAGTCCAGTGAGAGTCCTTTAGTGTGACTATATATATATTTACGGACTATTAGCTATTGTTGAATTCTTTAGGACGTACATGCGTATCGGGCCTATGTTTGGATTGTAGTAGTATAGAACTTGCTCGTGGGCCTGACCCACTTCTATTTTTCAGGTATACGACAGTTCCAGACTTAGACGTGTTCGTGCTGAGCAGATGTCTCTATTCACTCTTCCGACGATGTAGGGCTCTCTCTATAGTTTTATTTCTGGACGTTTATTACATTTGTTCTATCTTCCGTTTGGATGTTTAATAGGGGTCCACTAGAGATGGATTCCCCAAGTTGTAAACTGATGGAGTTTTGGAGTTTGGGTTTGATGGATTTTAATAATTATAATATTTTGCGAATTCTATTTTTAGTTCCTTCCAGATTTAATTTCATTTCTTAATTTATTTTGTATTCCGTGTTCATTATAAAATATTAATTGTTTGATATTCCCTCGGGTTTGGGCCTGGGCCTGATCAACCCGTGTCTCGGATCCGAGGGGTATCTTATGCCCCTGGCCTTGAAGTATTTCGACCAAGCCATTAAAGATAAGATTCAAGTATGATGGTGGGTCAATTGACTGTGCACTATTGTGTGACTCATTATACAAAGGTGCACCTTAATGGATAAACTCCCTATAAAGCAATTTCATAATCATGTTATAAGAAGTGTAGTACAACACAAATGTAAGATTTGTCATAACAATATAAATTATGTACAATTAATGTACCTGAAACTGAATGGATGAGATGGTAAGACTGTCTTGTTGCGAATTAATGCATTTACTACATAAAGATCGGTTGTATAGTCATTTAGACTAAACATTGCCCTTAAACCACTTCCCCCGCATAATTGCATTAGTTCAGCTTGCCTATACTTATATTATATAATTTTGTCATTCAGGTCAATTGAAAGTTCTGTAGATATATTCGGTAAGAATTCATTGTATTTAGTATTTGCATTCACTATCAAGGCCGCCGCTATCCCACCGCGATAAGAAATATTTTCATCACATACTATCAATTTGCCACCATAGTGACATATGTAAACTAATTGCTTCATCTGTTGATCCGACATTGTTTTGTTTCTAGGCTTGCGATGTGCAGATTCTGGAGAGGTGATGTTTATAAATTATGTTTGGCGTGTTTCACATTCACTACAATGTTGTCTTCAAATCTTACAATTAAATCCAATAATCAGCACGAATATAACTGTTTCATACGTAAAATAAATAAAACAACAACATTCACAAAAAATCAAACCCTCAAAAGAAAAATAAGTTGAAGAAGACAAAAAAGAAGAAGAAGAAGAAGAAGAAGAAGAAGTTTAAAATGGCACAAACTAAAACAATTGATTCATAAAGAAATCCACAACTTAACCGTCATTACCAATTTTCTGAATTGCATGAAAAGAAAAGATCATGTAAATAATCAACGAACCAGAATATGAATAAACACGATCTTGGAGGAAATCAACAAGAAATTATCTCAAAAATAAAGTTCCTTTCCATTTGAAACAAACTTACTATGCGTGTATAAATAAAATTAAAATATAAAATACTGCAATTGGAATAAATAAATTAGAAGTATAGTGACTAGGAGAGCAAACACATACTGAAATCAGTTTAAAAAAGAAGCTCAAATTCATCAATATTAGCATCCATCATAATAAATCATTTTGTAGTCATTTTCCCAAAGAAAAATTAGGATTTCGAAAATAAATCATTTCAGTTTCACAAAACTCTAAAATCGAATAATATTCAACCACAAAATCGAAACCAACAACTCAAAAAAACCACAAAGTTCAACTCGGAGAAACTGAAACCAAAGGGCTCAAACACGGCCTCTTTTTGAAGATTAAGAGAAAAATACCTTGGATTAGTCATGTATGCCCTAAAATTGCATCCAAATCGCCAAAAGAAAATTCAATAGCACAATATTTCGAGAAATCAATAGCACCTTCGATATTTGATAGGTGTTGTGTTTTACCAAAACCAACAAATCTAATACTTGAATCGATCGGTTATGGTGAAATTAACACATTGCCCTTGAATCGGCATAAAGAGTATCAAAAGAGGAGAGAAAAAATCATGCCGTAAAATAACAAAATCGGTGTGAAGGCTAGAGTGAGAAAGACAAAACTGAAGGCTATTTTGGACCATAAAAAATGTAAATGGCGTTTTAGTATAATTTTGTAATTAGTTTCAAAAAATTAGTAGTCAAACATATTAGTTTGAAAAAATTAGCATTTTTTAAAATGTACAAAATTAAGTAGTGAAGTTTTAAAATTTTTCTAAATAATTCAGCTTTAAAAAAAAAAAATAAAAAAATAGTACGGAGTAGATCATTATTTTTAAAGGTTATGTTCCCTTCTCCGTTTTTGTTTTTAATGGTCCACTTACCTTTTCAATTATCAAATTTGGAAAAAAAAAAAAATCAATAATCAGGGAAAAAAAAAAAAAAATGCAAAGGAAGAGAGTTTTTTTTTTTTTTTTTTTGTAAATATGAAATCTTTTATTTTCTTTCACCTTATTTTCACTCTAATTCCTTCGGTCCAAACGCAATGAAAAATTATAGGGCCCATTTGGTTCGAGACAAAGAACTAGTAACTACTACTATTTTTTTTCGACGTCCACGGAGAGATTCTCCAGAGACAAAAGAGAAGCTCGAACCGGGCAAGTGAAAAACTAGGGTTTCTGAACTTCCTCCCTCCATATTCATACGGAAAGCGGGCAAGGTCTCAAAACCTATATCCTTATTCGCTGAAATACTATTGTATGATTTGTTGTGTGATTATTGCAAACAGTTTTAGTTATTCATCGTTTCAAATTTTTTTTTTTCTTTTCATCTTCTATGTTTTACTATTAAATTTTAATCAGATCTATCTTAGATTTCGCACCTGAAATTGCACCGTATTTGGCCTTCTGAAACTTTAGGGCCATTGAAGGGATTCAGATTTTGATTTCTTTGGATGTTTTGCGGTTGGGGATTACGAAGGTTGCAGAGAACTAGGGTTTCCAAAATACTTAATTTTCTGATATATTTATATTACCACAGAAGTTAGAACATTGCTCTCATATGTTATACTTATTTATTTGCTTAAATAATAACATTAATCCTCTGTGTGTTACTGTTTGGTATTTCAAAAGCGTAAATAACAATTGATCAATAGTGATTAATGCAATATTGCGCAGGTTGTGGAAATCTGGAATAGCTGCTGCACACTTGCTGTTGCAAGAGGTGCTTCAGTTTTGGCTTTGGACCAGGGTGGAAATTTGGGTCTGTTACAGGTATATTACTTTTAAAATTTTAATTATGTTCCACTTTCTTTTTATTTTTCATTTCAAGTAGACATCTCCTCTTGTCACTGTGATCTTGATGTCATAATTGCTTTGTGGTTGCAGCAAATTCGTATGTTCGTTAGCATAATAGTTTGAAAACAAATTTTGGCATTTATACACACACTGGTGGTGGTTGTTTGGTTAGTTCGTAGCAGCAATGGAAGAGTCCAAACACAAATCTAAGAGGGAAGATTCAGAAAGGGAGGAAGAACCGAAGAGGAGTCATCGGGTTAAGGAGGATGAGGAAGAGCCGAAGAGGAGTCATCGAGACCGGGACAGGGAACGGAATGGAGAGAGACACAGGGAGAAGGAAAAGGAGAGGGATAGGGACCACCACCGTGCTTCTTCTGACAAGAAAGACAAGGAGAGTCGGCGATCCGAGAGAGAGAAAAGCACCGATGACAAGCACAGGGAGAAGGAGAAACACAAGGATAGACACAGGGAAAGAGACAAGGACAGGCACCGGGTAAGGACTCGGGATGATGAAAGAGCGAGAAGTAGGACGAGAGACAAGGACAGGGATGATAGAGATGGGGACGGGGATAGAGAAGATAGAGAGAAGGAGATCAAAGAGAGGGCGAGGGAGAGGGAGAGGGAGAGGGAACGGGAGGAGAGAGACAGAGAAAGGGAGAAAGAGAAGGAGAGAGAAAGAGAGAGGGCAAGGGAGAGGGAGAGGGAGAAAGAGAAAGAGAAAGAGAGGGAGAGGGAGAGGGAGAAGGAGAGGGAGAGAGAAAGGGAGAAGAGGGAGCGTGAGCGAGAAGACAGGGAGAGGGAAAGAGAAAGGGAGAGGAAACGGGAAAAGGAGAAGCGTCGTCGAGATGATACTAGTGATGATGATGATGCCAGAGGACGTGATAGAAAGGCCAGGAGGAGAGAGGATGATTATAGGGAGAGAGAGCGTGAACGAAGCAGCAGGTCGAACAGGCACAGGGATGGCAGTGAAGATAGTGGCTCCCGAAAAAGGAGCGAGGAAGAATTATTGGATAAGAAAGAGACAAGGACCCGAGAAGAGGATTTAGAAGAAGAACAACGGAAATTGGATGAGGAGATGGAAAAGCGAAGGAGGAGAGTTCAAGAATGGCAAGAGTTGAGAAGAAAGAAAGAGGAATCTGAGAGAGAAAAGCTTGGAGTAGCGAATGCTGATGAACCCAAATCAGGCAAGACCTGGACCTTAGAAGGAGAATCGGATGATGAAGAAGCGCCCCCTGAGGGCAAATCTGAGATGGATATGAACTTGGATGAGGATGCTAAACCTTCCGACGAGGCTGGTGATCGCATGGCAGTTGACTCAGAGAATGGAGATGCTGCACCTGCTTTGCGCAATGTGGGTGATGATACTGCTGTAGAGGACGATGAAATTGATCCACTAGATGCTTTCATGAACTCTATGGTATTGCCCGAAGTTGAGAAGCTAAACAATGCTGTGCTTCCTTCTACCTCAGACGAAAAGAATTCTGACTTGAAGAATGGCAGTCGAAGTAATGGAGATCAACCTAAAAAAGGTTTAAATAAATCTATAGGCAGAATCATTCCTGGTGAAGATTCAGATTCAGACTATGGCGATATTGAGAATGATGAAGATCCTCTTGAAGACGAAGATGATGATGAATTCATGAAAAGGGTGAAGAAGACCAAAGCTGAAAAACTATCACTAGTTGACCATTCGAAGATTGATTATGCCCCTTTCCGAAAAGATTTCTATACTGAAGTGAAGGAAATCTCAAGGATGACTTCTGAAGAGGTTGCTGCTTACAGAAAACAATTGGAATTGAAGATACATGGAAAGGATGTGCCAAAGCCAGTTAGGACTTGGTACCAGACAGGATTGACAAATAAAATTTTGGACACGATAAAGAAGCTTAACTATGAAAAGCCCATGCCAATTCAAGCTCAAGCATTGCCAATAATTATGAGCGGTCGTGACTGCATAGGTATTGGAAAGACTGGGTCCGGAAAAACACTAGCCTTTGTGCTACCAATGTTGAGGCATATCAACGACCAGCAACCTTTGATGTCTGGAGATGGGCCTATTGGGCTGATAATGGCACCTACAAGGGAGCTTGTTCAACAGATCCACAGTGATATCAAGAAGTTCACAAAGGTAATGGGTCTCAGCTGTGTGCCTGTATATGGAGGCTCTGGAGTTGCTCAACAAATTAGTGAATTAAAGCGTGGGGCTGAAATTGTTGTCTGCACTCCAGGTAGGATGATTGACATACTTTGTACGAGTGGTGGGAAAATAACAAATCTTCGAAGAGTCACTTATTTGGTCATGGATGAAGCTGATCGAATGTTTGATATGGGTTTTGAACCCCAGATCACTAGAATTGTTCAGAATACTCGACCAGACCGTCAAACCGTGCTCTTCTCTGCTACTTTCCCTCGCCAGGTTGAAATTTTGGCACGGAAAGTGTTGAACAAACCTGTGGAAATACAGGTTGGTGGGAGGAGTGTTGTGAACAGTGACATAGCACAGTTAGTTGAGGTGAGACTCGAAAATGAAAGGTTCTTAAGACTGTTAGAACTACTTGGAGAATGGTATGAAAAGGGAAAGATTTTGATATTTGTCCACTCACAGGAGAAATGTGATGCATTGTTCAGGGATTTGCTCAAGCATGGTTATCCTTGCCTCTCACTTCATGGTGCTAAGGATCAGACAGATCGTGAATCCACCATTTCTGATTTCAAGAGTAATGTTTGTAATTTATTGATTGCTACAAGTATTGCTGCCAGGGGTTTAGATGTGAAGGAGCTTGAACTGGTGATCAATTTTGATGTCCCAAACCACTATGAAGACTATGTCCATCGTGTTGGTCGAACAGGCCGAGCTGGTCGGAAAGGCTGTGCTATCACATTTATTTCGGAGGAAGATGAGAGATATGCACCTGACCTTGTAAAAGCATTGGAACTATCAGAGCAAGTAGTTCCAGATGACTTGAAAGCTCTCGCTGATGGTTTCATGGCGAAGGTGAATCAGGGACTTGAGCAAGCCCATGGAACTGGTTATGGTGGAAGTGGTTTTAAATTTAATGAAGAGGAGGATGAAGTGAGAAGAGCGGCAAAGAAAGCACAGGCAAAAGAGTACGGTTTTGAGGAGGACAAGTCAGATTCAGAAGATGAAGATGAAGGGGTTCGAAAGGCAGGTGGCGACATTTCTCAGCAAGCTGTCCTTGCTCAGGCAGCTGCACTTGCTGCTGCTTCCAAAGTGAGTATGGCTTCGATGTCAACGCCTGTCTCAGCTGCTCAACTGCTTCCGAATGGCGGATTATCAGTTTCTCTGCCAGGTGTCCTTGGTCTAACAATACCAGGAGCAGCATCTGTTGTGCCTGGGACAACACTGCCCCTTGCTCCCAATGATGGGGCAGCTAGGGCAGCGGCAATTGCAGCTGCAATGAACTTGCAGCATAACTTGGCAAAGATTCAGGCTGATGCTATGCCTGAGCATTATGAAGCAGAGTTAGAGATTAATGATTTTCCTCAAAATGCTCGTTGGAAGGTGACACACAAGGAAACCCTGGGTCCTATTTCTGAATGGACTGGTGCTGCCATTACAACTAGGGGACAGTATTTTCCACCCGGTAAGATCGCAGGACCAGGGGAACGCAAGCTCTACTTGTTCATTGAGGGGCCTACTGAGCAATCTGTGAAGAGAGCCAAAGCAGAATTGAAGCGTGTGTTGGAGGATATTACAACCCAAGCCTCATCACTTCCAGGTTCAGCCCAACCAGGCAGGTACTCGGTTGTGTAAGAACCAGGCTCGAGACACTGGATGCCGATGTTTCTTGCTCGGTTATACTTAAGGTTGTTCATTTTTTTCTCTATTATGGTTGATCATTGCTTTGGAGATGCTTTATCCTTTCTGGTGGAATTTAATTTGGAAGTTGTAACAGTATCTAGTTTTTCTTTTTAAAATGGGAAGCTCATGGACATGAGTTTTATATTGGAAAATGAATTATGCCAGATGTAGAAATAGGAAGATGATTTCAAAGTCACTGTTTTGAAATACTGATATGTTTTTTTTATAGATTATATGTAATAAAATGAACCTGTCGTCTCATGAGCTTACCTTCTGCTCCTTTTCAGCATGTGTTAGAACCAGTGTGATTGTGGTCCAACTACTTGATTCTTTGATTATTTCTGTTTTATGTTTTCTAATAATTTTCACAAGTCGGAGCCCCATTTGATTTTTTTGTTTTGTTTTCTTTTTCGCCATTAAATCCTTGTCCCATGGCTCGAGCGAGGATCCAAGTCTACACTTGCCTGTGCATGTCGTCTATATGCTCCCAGAGGCTATCTAAGAGATGGCAATCACGGTGGGCACTTTTCCTTTATGGTCCTCTTTTAAAGTGTCATTTCAAGCTCCTGGTTCAAGTGGCTTCTCCTTTCCCTGTGACTTTAGCTGTTCGATCTGATATGGACATTTTTTTTTTCTCTGTTTGTAGGTTTGATTGGGAAATCATAAAGCCCTTTGTTGCTATTGACGGTGTTCTCAAGCTGTTCTTGGAGACTTCCCTATAATTTCCCCCCACACTTGCCATGCATATTCTTATTTTCTCTGTTGATCTGCCAAATAAAAATGTAGATATAGTAGTCAAAATAATATTAGAAATAGTTGCAAGTTTTGTTACTACTGTTATATTTGGTTTGCGAATTTGAGTTAGATATTTGACCTGACTGTTCTGATCCTGGATGATCACTGTACATTTGCTGAACTAGGTGGTGCCTACTAATTGTTGTCCTTTTTGATAGTGCAGACTGGATATATTGATAGGTCTTCTTCAAGTTAATAAACTGTTTGTAGAAGCATATCATATATATTAATTTGCAGCTCCCCCAATTTTAGTCCACCTCCAATAAGTAGTATTTCCTATTCTTGTGTTCCCTCTCTCTTTTTCCACCTTTATTTAACTATATTTCTCTCTATTTAGAATGCATCTATAGATATTTTACATGTATCATTATATCGTGTTTAGTATCTTATCTTTACACAGCTAGTCCCATGCTCGAAAAATGAGGAGGATTGTGCTAGGTAGCTAGTATGTGGTTTTATTGAGGTGATGACCTTAGATGAGCAGAATGGCGAAACATTATTTGTGTAGTGAACCCCAAGTATTTGGGAAAAGCTTGTTGAGGAAAAAAAAAAAAAAAAACTACATCCAATAGTGCCTAGGACAAGTGTATAGAACACTCCTGCACTCACACTACGAGCTTTTGATGTTTTAATTGGCGTAGAAAGATAGAGACGGGTGTTTACAGTGTATGTGCACACACCCACACCCACACCCACACCCACACACATATGCTATTGTTGTTATAAGCTTAGGTGTGAAGTTTAGGGTTCCCAAAGGAGTAGTAAGAAGGGGGTAGGGTCTGTGGGGTTATAGTTAAGGAAAGGTAAAGTTCAGAGGATCCTGCCTCGAAGTCTAATTGATTTCGAAATTTTCTTCTTTCTGTTCGTTTTGTTCAATTCCTTATGCGCTGCATTAGTCTTGATGTTTTGCTTCTGCATTAAGGCTTTCCTCTTTTTCTTGATACATTGCAGCAGTACCTCTTTTCTCCCTACGTCAGTATCAAAATTTCCGACAACCCGACCTGATGGCTTCCAAAACACTTATCCAATCATGAGTACTACAACTACTACCTTGACCACCATGCAGTTCAGCATTCTCTCTCTTGTGAGTGGATTTCTTCAGTTAGGTTTTTGGAAGGAATATGAATTTTAATGTTTATGGGGTACTGGTCTTTACATCTACACCCCACTGGTAAGAGGATATTGAGGTTATTCCCGCATTCTGTGTGTTCCTTCTTTCTCTCTCTCATTTTTGTGATTGAAGTGGTTGTGTGAAGTGTGATAGCAATTTGGCTGGAAACAAGTTTGCAAGCTTTCAAAGACCATATTGTCTGCCTGGAAGTTCTGTATACTGAGGTGGTTATTCTTCTGTCATTTGCTTTATGGTGTTTTGGAAAAGATTTCCTTCCTTCCCCGCCTTTTTTTTTTTCCCTTCTTCTTTAAGAAATGTTCTTACTTTTTTGTTGATGCAGGTATTTATTGATTTATTTTTTTTTAGTTTTTAATTTTAAATTTGAAAATGTGTTAGGCCTGTAGTTTATTGTTTGAATCTTCTAATTTTTCTCCATTTTGTACTCTACTTGGGAACAGAGATGGGGAATATAAGTTGAGTGAAATTTTAGTGTCTAATAATAACTAGACTTGTTCAATTCAACGTCTTCTATGGTTTAGATGAAGCTTTAGTTTAAAATATACTCCAGAGTGCAATTTTAGTGTCTAAAAATGGTTAATTAAGCAATATTATGCTACAAATATGTTTCATTAAAGTGGACATTGAGGATGAATTAAGTTCTGATGGTGGCTTCCTTTGACCAATGGCGGCTGAAAGTCATTAATGGGTATACATTTAATGGTGGGATGAAAGCAAGTTGCGACCGGGATTTATTGCCTACGCATGAATTTTTGTGTTTTGTCGGTGGAGTCTCATGAAGAACCTAGGAGTTTAAACAATCCAGAATTTATGGTCCAAGGATGGAGCCAGCAGTGGCAAGAGGGGGCTGGTATGCACAATATGGTTCGTTTTGGCCGACGGTGAGATGGGTCATGAACACCCTGTTAATGGACTTCCTTGCGCATCATTTTCGAGTCTAAAGCTGAAAATGAATCGGCTTTGTCTTCTTCGACTGGTGTTGTGCTCAAAACTGGGTTCACTTTAGGCTCAAAATAGGGGATTGGTCCCTTGTTTTTTCTCTGCGTTAAGCTAACCAGGCTGCCTATTTGTTAGGTTTTTCTCACTCTTATTGACGAAGACATTGCAAATCTCTCCTTGGTTTTCAGGTTTCTTAATGAATAAATTCTGTCTTTGACCCAAGAAAAAAAAAAAAAAAAATGTGGACAAGGAGGATTAAGATTAGACACAACAAACACACATCTCAAACACGCTCAAAATATTGATCATGATTTAAAAAAAAAAAAAATAATAATAAATAGGTAAAACATTAGGTTGAATTTGAGCTTGATTTGTCCACATCTCAACCTAGAGTCTAATTAAATTAAATTTGAGTGATGATTTATCAATCTTAGTAAATATGGTTGTCAAAATTTCAAGAGGAGGGCTATAAGCTCGGACATCATTGCACGAGGGTGCACCGCGATGATTAGAAGGGTTTGTTTCAAACAATAAAAAAATAAAGGAAAATGATATTATTGATGACTTTAATATTCCGATTTAAAATTGACAGAGATAAAAATCTTATGTAATATTTTACAAATTTTCAATGCTTTGCAATTTTTCTTTAAATTCCTTTCTTTGTTTTTGTTCTTGGGTGTCCCATAGATCATTAGTTTTGATCATTATAGCGATGAACAAAGCCTATCAAAGTAATTAGATTGATATTAATGATCAAAGACACAATCTTTTATATATAATGAGGGATACACAATCTAATTATATATAGAAGATGCAATCTTAAGTATGTCAACAGTTCTTAGAGAGATGCATTGTGATATACAATTTGATATACATGGTGATTAAAATTTTAATTCCCAATGACGATAATGAAATCTAGACAGGGATTATAACTTTTCAGATAGTTAATTATCTTATATTTTAAAATGGTCCCATTATATTTGACACATAGTTAACCACATTTTATTTATTTATTACAAGGAAAGAAGTGTTAGAAGTTAGAGTCAAAACTTGACACTTCAAAGTCTACCGAGACACTAGCCCACTGGGCTATCGAGGCACCGGCCATAAGTAATAGAAAGGTGAAATGGTAGGTTTTTATTTATCAGGTTAAATAGCAAGACTCAAAAATAAAATAAAATAAAAATCTCAAAATAAATGGATCGGATCCAAGTTTGGTTCGGGTTAACCTACCCATATTGCAGCCCTACTACCCCACCCCACCCAGGGCTTGGTCAAGCCGTCAACTTATTGGATGAAGGCCACGGAGGTGGGCTAGAAAACAAAACAGCAGATCACCACCCATCATTCCTCTCACTCACTGTCTCTCTCTCTCTCTCTCTCTCTCTCTCTCTCTTCTTCTTCGTCGTCGTCGTCGTCTATCTCCTCCCTCCCCAATTCTTCCCCCATCTGCAGTCGCTTGACTCAAGACGAAAACCCCAATAACCCATTAACGTCAGATTTAGTTATTGGGCTCTCTGTTCTTCTCATCTGAATCAATATCATTCTTTAGAAACCCTAAGAATTCAGAATTCCCAATCCCGATCAGGCATGTCTCTCGTATATTCGTCGAAAAAACACTACAATACTCTTACTTTCTTCACTGTTCTTCATGTTCATCTACATGAGTTGTGACTGTTTCGAGTTTGAACATTGAACGGAGCTCACCCACAAGAGGAGACTTCACTCGGCCATATTTACACACAAATACACGCGTATATGACGGTCAGTTCTTCTCTTTATACAAAATTATTGTTTTGTAGAATCGTATGTGGTTTGATTATAATTAGACTGTAATAGAGTTGCGAAATTTAAATTTTTTATATACACAGTGGCGAACCCTTTTGAAATGAACATGGAAAACGAGATAATCGAATTCGATATAGGGTTAGGAGGTGGAGACGATGGCATGGACATTGAGCACCACGTTGATGAGGATGAGATGGTTGATAGTTCGCCCACCGGAGGTGGGAGTGGTGGTGGGGAAATTTACATTCCTGAGGGGGACCCGGACCTTGAGCCTTATGAGGGCATGGAATTTGAATCCGAAGAGGCTGCCAAGGCGTTCTATAACTCGTATGCCAGACGTGTTGGTTTCAGCACGCGTGTTAGCTCCTCCCGTAGGTCCAGGAAGGATGGAGCGATCATACAGAGGTCTTTTGTTTGTGCTAAAGAAGGGTTTCGGAACTTGAATGAGAAGCGCACCAAGGATAGAGAGATCAAACGTCCCCGGATCATCACCCGGGTGGGATGTAAAGCAGCGTTGTCTGTGAAGATAAAAGATTCTGGTAAATGGGTTGTGTCTGGCTTTGTCAAGGGACATAATCACGAGTTGGTTCCCCCGGATCAGGTGCATTGCCTTCGCTCCCACCGTCAAATCTCTGGTCCTGCTAAGACCTTGATTGATACCTTGCAGGCAGCTGGAATGGGCCCCCGTAGGATTATGTCGGCCCTGATCAAAGAGTATGGTGGTATTAGCAAAGTCGGGTTTACGGAGGTAGACTGTAGGAATTACATGAGAAATAATCGCCAAAGGAGCTTAGAAGGAGATATTCAACTCCTTATAGATTACCTGAGACAAATGCAGGCTGAGAACCCTGCATTCTTCTATGCCGTGCAGGGCGATGAGGAACAGTGTACAGGTAATGTTTTCTGGGCTGATCCAAAGGCAAGGGCGAGCTACACCCATTTTGGTGATACGGTCACATTTGACACAACATACAGGTCAAATAGGTACCGTTTGCCTTTTGCTCCATTCACTGGAGTGAACCATCATGGACAAGCTGTCTTGTTTGGCTGTGCATTCCTATTGAATGAATCAGAAGCATCATTTGTCTGGCTATTTAAGACGTGGCTTACAGCAATGTCTGGTCGTCCTCCAGTATCAATCACCACAGATCACGATGCGGTGATAGGGTCGGCCATTATGCAGGTTTTCCCAGAGACCCGCCACCGTTTCTGTAAATGGCACATTTTTAAGAAATGCCAGGAGAAGTTGTCTAATGTGTTCCTTCAACATCCAAATTTTGAATCAGACTTCCACAAATGTGTGAACTCGACTGACACAGTTGATGAGTTTGAGTCATGCTGGTTGTCACTTGTTGATAAGTATGATCTTAGGGATCATGTATGGCTTCAAGCAATATACTCTGCTCGCAGGCAATGGGTACCAGTATATTTACGTGACACATTTTTTGCAGAAATGTCCATAACTCAGCGCAGTGATAGTATGAACTCATATTTTGATGGATATGTGAATGCGTCCACCAATCTTAATCAGTTCTTCAAGCTGTATGAGAAAGCATTAGAAAGTCGCAACGAGAAAGAAGTGAAAGCAGATTATGATACGATGAACATTTCCCCTGCTCTAAGGACCCCTTCTCCCATGGAGAAACAAGCATCTGAACTGTACACGAGAAAGTTATTTATGAGATTTCAAGAGGAGTTAGTTGGGACACTTACTTTCATGGCATCCAAAGTGGAGGATGATGGGGAAAGCACTACTTATCAAGTAGCAAAGTTTGGAGAGGATAACAAAGCTAACTATGTTAAATTTAATGTACTAGAGATGAGAGCAACTTGTAGCTGTCAGATGTTTGAGTTCTCAGGTCTTCTTTGTAGACATGTTTTGGCCGTTTTTCGAGTGACAAATGTTCTTACTCTTCCATCTCATTACATTTTGAAACGGTGGACAAGAAATGCAAAGAGCAGCATTATATTGGAAGAACGGTCTGGTAATGCATTTAGTAGTTATCTCGAGTCTCACACTGTTCGGTTTAATACTTTACGTCACGAGGCCCTTAAATTTGTAAGTGAAGGGGCAGAATCTGTTGACACTTACAATGCGGCCAAGGATGCTCTGCAAGTGGCTGCCAAAAGAGTTGCTTCTGCAACCAAGAGTGACGGGAGAATACCAATGATCAATGGGCGTACCAGGGAGGAATCGACAAGTGATGGAAGTAGGGCAAAATTTTGTTCTGGGGATCACCAAGGGAGCATGGGTCAGCAACTATCTGAGGTTAGTAAATTTCCTCCTATTGCTTTTCTAATTGACATCTTTTCTGTTCGTCACTTCATCTTTCAGAAAAATGCAACCTTAACTTTATTTGTCCTTTTCCACTTCCATCTACTTGGCTTTCATTTACTACCCCTCCTGTGTGTACTTTTTAAAGTAGATTGTGTCCTGCATGTTTTTCCTTTATATCATCTTCTCAACTACTGGGCATTGTTCTGACTATGGCTCTTGATTATAAGCTCTGCAATACTTTACATGTCCTACAAATTTAGTTATATGCATTTTGTCCTACAAATTAAGTTATATGCATTTGAATCTTTCAATGTTCGTAGTTTTAAAATTAAGATAAATCTGAGGACTGCTCTGATGTATGTATCAAGGGTATGATATCCCAACTTTTTGGAGTTGTTTACAAGAATCTTGTCTTGTTATTCTACTCTATCTAATGCTCTAATTTTAGTTAAATAACACATTATCATATTGTCCCTTATTATCTTAGCTCATGTCAATTTGGTCTTCGCATCCCCTGTCATTACCTTCAATGTGAATCAGACCACTTTTTGTCACTCTGCATTTATCAGTTCTCACTTCATATGATCAAATCATCTTAATCTATTTGCTTATTTTTTATCTCCAGTGTATTTTACTCAACTGTGTAAAAAATGTACTCGTTGATAATTTTTTCATTTCTTAAAGTGCTGGTTTGTGCTTGAAATGTACTTCCCACTATTGTCTGACATTGGTTTTATTCGATCTTGAGGTTGTATTTTAGCCCTAATCCAATTTATTTGTGATTTATAGAAGTGAGATTTATCAATCTCAAGAAAATAAAAGAATTAAAATACTTCTTCTTTTGCTTATCAAAAAAAAAAAAAAAAACTTCTTCTTTTAGAATATAGAAGTCACCATATCCGAAGTGATTCTTTCACATTTTGAAGTATCTTCGGTAAACTGGTTGTTCATGAAAGAGAATTTTTAATGACGTTGACTTGTGGAGCATGGTATGTTTTGGTGTAGTTCAAGCTTAATATACAAAGCACGTATCTACTGTGTACATCAGTGAAATACGAGCTCCAAAAGCAGGTGGCCTTTTTAATAAGAGCTTGAGTAGTCACTCGAAATGCCTGTTCTGTGGAGATGCTCATGAAAACATGCAATACTCATAACTTGGATGCAGCTACATGAAATGCATATTGAAGTCAGTTTCTCATATGTCGAGGTAAACACCCCTATCTATGTGTGTAAAACTGGCAAAGAAATACTGTTGGCTTGTTCAAAGTTTTAAATAATCAGATGGCATTAGTTCCAGTTGAGGATACTTCTTTGAAGCTATAAGTATTTCTTGGTTGAGAGAAACAACAAACTCTGGATCACTATCTCCTCATCTCTTGGTGATTCAATCTACAGTAGAAGTTACAGATTGAAAATTCAGGGGATTCTAGTTGAGACCATTAGGATATTCTTTCTTATAGTTCTCTGCTGCTGTAAATTCTGTTTTCATTGCAATCTTCTCTGTAATTTTTGTATCAAATTTTTATATTTTGTAACTTTACCCTTTCCCCTACCCTATAATCCTTTTGCATAATAAAACAGTTTATGTCCTGATTTTCTAGTAACATATATTTTGAAGTTCCAGCATTCTATAGAATTAATTTCAAGCCTTGGCTAGCCCTTGCTCCTCTTATTTAGCCAATAATCTTTTGTTTACCTTTTCTAAATTCTGAACCATTAAGTTTTTCTACAACATAAGTTGCCATAAGTAACAATATGTAGCATGGTATGATTTCTTTAGTGACACTCAGGCTGATCATAGTGACAGGTACTATGTGCCCATGCCTTAGCTAATGTTTATGCTGCAGTACATAAAATGAAAGTCATGGAGAGAGCCCTGGAGTTAGATTGTTCCACTGAATTGATTGGATTTCACCTTTACAATTGATTCATATGATTCATATGATGCTACAATTGTTTGAGATTCCCTGTAGTTGCATACCAGTTGGTTGGAGTGGATAGAAAACTTACTTGAGCTAATTTGTCAGGTCCTTTCCTTATTATTTTTATTACTTAACTTCTGGAGTGGAAGCGCTTTATGTTATTACACCCTAACAATGAGCTGTTCTTTGCCTTGACTGTTGAAACTTTTCAAAAGAAAAGGTCCAATCCCATCAGTGCAGGAAATGTTTATCTATATCATCATCGTTGGTCTTTGTAACCGAGGAATTTTTGTGCACTATTTGTAGGATGACATGGACAAGAAGATCCGGGAACTTACCAATGAGCTGGACTGCGCAAATCGGAAGTGTGAAGTTTATCGGGCCAATCTACTTTCTGTGTTACGGGATATTGAGGATCATAAACAACAGCTATCCATCAAAGTTCAAAATGTAAAGCTTAGTCTGAAGGATGGCAACTAAAGGTATAACATAGTTATAACCTGTTTTCTCTTTTTAATTTGTGCACATATTTCTGTACTTCTACAAGGCTCTACAGGCAGTTAGAAACCATGGACACTCCTCTAGGGGGTGTGTCTGACACGGACACATGTGGGACATGGCGGGCCACTTGTTTGACACGGTTACGGAATGTCCTGGAGTTTGAATCTATTTTCTTTTGGTTGAACACAGCGGAGAACACAGTTGGAACAATTAGGGACACGTTTGGGACACTTTCTAAAAATGGCGTGGTAGTTTGCAATTATTTTAGAAAACAGGGTTCCAATGCAAATTTGAAAACATATTATTGGTTAATAGGAAAATAATATTAAAATTTTAAAAGCAAAAACAAATATTTGTTTTTTGTTTTTTCTTTTTTGATCAGGTATGTAACTCACACACTTTGCTCACGCCGAGGCTCGAACCCTTCCCCTCCTGTTTGAGGATGGGGAATTTATACCATTGGGCTAGAGGCCCTTTGGTAAAAACAAGAATAACAATTATCCTGCTGTCCCAAATTAGTGATTGAATCAAGAATTTGTATCTATAATAATATATTTTGTTGTCATATCCCTGCTGTGTCAATATTTTATTTTAATTTTTTAAGATTTCTTGTATTACTGTGTCTATATAGTGTCGTCCACGTGTCCCGTATCCGCATTATTGGTTCATTAGTTAAGTTTTGTTTTAAACTTTTCAACAGTGTAGTATGTCAAAATAAGTTATGTTGCCATTGTCACTTATCAAAAAAAAAAAATTATGTTGCCATTGTTGGAGCATAGTTCTTATGCTAGCTTTCGCAATATGTAGGTGTAGCTAATATGAAGTTATAGTTCCTACTTCGTCTTTTCTAATATGTTTGAAATGGATCCTTATCTGTCCATAATTTATTGAAAGGAATTATCTTTGCTTACCATAATAGACCATGAAGAAGGTATGCATGTAGAACATGTGAAAACATAAAGTACCCCCTTTACAAATACTCTTGGCTGGAGTATGTAGCATGGATACGGACACGGGACACGGACACGATACGACACGGATACGTCGACATATCAAATTTTAAAAAAGTAGGACACGGGTACTGCATGGACACGGCTACATAATAATATAATATTTTTATTATTATACATCTATTCAGTAATAGTATTATAAAACTTTAATTCATTTATAATTTCTATACTAAGAGTTGCTCTGAAATGAATTAGAAAATAAAATTATTTCATTATTGTAATAATTTTTATATCATATATACTATTATTTCACTACTTTGTCATGATAGTATTCATATTATTTTCAAGATTATTGGGGAAATTTGTGTTAGAAATGTCCGAGAAGTGTCGGCGAAGTGTCCGGAAAGTGTCGGTGAAGAGTTTAGGAAGTGTCCGAAATAATAAATTTAATTTTTATTTATGGACACGTATATGAAGTATCGGACACGTGTCCGAGGAGAGTCTGAGGAGTGTCGGTGTACGACACTGGTACGACATGGGTACGGCTCCTTTGTAGAAGTGTCTGTGCTTCCTAGCCTGTAGTTTATCGGATTAGAACCGTATAATCATTTTTAGTTTGGTGGTGAATTTATTGATTTATTTATTTTGCATCTCTTTATTGATCCACCTTATTTCCACTGCTCTATTTGATTGTGGCCTTCAAGTTCTTAATCTCTAGTCCTTGACCTTGTAGGGCAAAGCTTTTCTGTATGATATATGCTTAAAGCTGCAGATGAGGATAGGAGATGTAACACTCATGACTGAACCTGCATGTCCACGGGATCCATAAGATTGCTGGCACTTGGATTCTTATTTAGTGCCAATCTTATCTGATCAAGGCTAAATTGTTCAAAAATCCACCTTCTCAGATCAAGGGTTAAGGAACAGGTAATCACCAAACAGCAAATGGTGGTCAAACAACTAGTTAGTGTATATGAAGTTGGTTCTACCAATACTTATTACCTTCTAATCGGCTAACAAGATAATCTATATGTAATTGCTTCTTTCTATCACGAGGTTGAATATTGGCGTGCATAAAGAAATATATCTTAATTTGTTTAGAATTCTGGAGTGTTAGGTGGTACTTGTTCATCTCTCTCTCTCTCTCTCCAAAAATTTATAACTTAGAAATGAAATCGAGGAAACTTGGAAGCTTCCCTTGTTCTCTGTTTGATTTTCCACAAGACGTACAGGAATAATGATACTGGAACTTCCATATGCATTAGGATTAGAGTGACTGGTAGGATTTTGGTTCCGTTTTCACCCCCAACATCTGGCCAACCAAACAGAGCATTGGGAACTTCAATAAAACCACACGCTAAATCTGTCTAGGGGGTGGCATTGGATGAAGAAAATAAATAGAGACTGTTGAAGCAAGAGTCTGAAGGTAAAACAGAATAGTGCATTTATACATGTAATGTAACTGGGCCATCACTCATCAGAACATCATTGTTGAGGACCATGTCGTAGCTTTGTCGGTGATTCAAATCGTGCAAGAAAAATTTAAGCATCTCTGCAGGATTTAACATGAAACAATTTCAAAGCCATGGCACTGATTTTACTTGGCTCGGGACTACTAATGCAGATGCCAAACCCGGGTTTGGCCTTGGAGAAACATGAGTCATGTAGTCGATCCCAAATGGTTGGGACAAAGCTGCTGAAGCACAACATCTCTTTGGAATTATGAATATGGGAGACAAGATATCACATTTGTTAGTCTTTTATGTTCATAGTTTTTTTTTTTTTTTTTTTTTGGTGGCCGTTGCTAATGCCTTCGTATAGAATTGTCTGTTCTTTCTCTCTCCCCTGCCCCTCTTCCTCTAACCAGGTTCAAGCAGGGATGGAAGGAGACCTAGGATCTGAAAGAGACCTGCATCCCACACCTCTAAAGATTTAAATGATTCCGGGGGTAATGGTACTCTTATATCCCTGTTCTTGCTTAAAACTTGGCAGATGTCTTCCCTATTTTAGTGTTTTTTTTTTTTTTTTGGATTAGGGCTGCATGACAGTGAAAAGTGGACCAGTTCAGGGAAATATGTATTTTCATAGTCAGTCCCAAGGAAAAGGTTTGGTCTATATTATGCGCCATGTCTCTCTCTCTCTCTTTTAGGTGGAAACTTGTGCTTTGGGATCATGGAATCTCTTCAAAAGAACCAAAACAGCTTTCACAAGTTGCAGTGTCTTAACCCTTGTGCTGTTTGATAACCAATTTTATACGTAATTCTGATCGGATTAAGTGCATTTAAATATCATTTAATAAGTGTCACTTGACAATATCTCAAGTGATAACGACCTAAGAACATTTAAAATTAAAAAAGAATATTATAAAATTTTCAATTTACAATGACCATGAGCAGCATATATACTCTATGTAATCTGTGTTTAGGTTTGTTAAGACAAGAAAACAATCTAGAAAAGCTTCCATCTTGCTTGCTTTATAACTAACTAACAAAAAGGAAACCCTCACACGGAATCAGATGCTTTATTCATTTGTAGCACACGCTTTAATCACCTGCAAGATCTTCACCATCACTACAATATACAACTTGGTCAATATTCGGGATGAAGATATGTTTTTTGTGTGTGTGTGTGTGTGTGGTCTATTTTTGTGTGTGTGTGTTTTTGAACATAGCTTCCAAGAAAAGAAAAAGTTTCTCCTCAAGTCTTACAAGGATATCAAGGTTAAGCAAAGATAAATAAAAGTTGGAGGCAAATCCTCCCCTCCTCTTTTTAGCAAATGAATTATTATATTCCTTACCTAAAATATATTTTTAATTTGTTAAAGTAATGATGAAAGTGTTTTTGAAATTTTATTTTATTTTTTATTGTTTTTAATTATTATTATTATTTTTTTATGGTAAAACGAACACACACACTTTTTTACCCACGCCAGGGCTCGAACCCCTCCCCTCTTCTTTGAAGATGGGGGAGGTTATACCACTGTGCCAAAGGCCTTTTGGTAGTGTTTTTGAACTTGTTAATGCTCGATTTTCTTATTTTAACATTAAGGACAATAGTCAAATTCGTTTACGTACTTATCTACTAATACATTCAATCGTCTCAAAATCACATGTATAAATAAAAATAAAAATTACATGTTAAAAATAAAAAAAGAGTTGAACTCAAGATCTCTTAATTATCATTAAGAGAATTTAACGAACCCCACAAACTCACTGGATTATTGAACTAGTTCTCGTTGCATCAATTTTGTAGATAGATGAAATTTTTTTCGTTATATCAATTTAGTGAATTAGGAAACATGATGAATTCATTTTTTTTTTCGAACAAAAATTTTAAGAGTTAGTGATTAGTTTTCAGAGAGAGGAAGAGTGTAAGGCCGAACACAAACTCTAAAATAAAAGTACTATTCGAACAACACAACAATTTGCGATTCATTGATGCACCAACCAGCCAGCCAGCCTTTATTTAGAATATTATTGCCACACGCCCAACTATAGAATAAAGTCTACATATGATCCGTTTTGCTACTTTTTCATGGGTCATTTTCTCATTCTCCATGTGTTTATTTTCTGTTTTTCTATATCACTATTTTCATTGTTATTGTGTTATCTATATATATATATATATATCAAAGTAAAAAGAGATGAGAATAAAACCTGGACATGTTGCGTAACTATGAGAACATTGCCTCCTTGTACACATTTTCCAAACAAGGAGGAAGCCAATTTCACTGATTGTAATGGTTGTCCAACTTGTGCTAGGAACAATAAAAAAAGTTAGGCCCATTATTGAATGTCATTTATTCCTTGAATCTGTGATTTGTCCCAAACATCTTACAATTTTTATTCCTAATACTTTGGACTTAATTTAACCGAATATGTACTCACTTATTTTCCTCAACATATTCATATCGAACACGAACTCAAATCAGACCATCAATCCTCAACATGAAAAGGAATTCTTAAATTTAAGATAGATAACCTTTTTTTCATCACATCCAATTTAAATTCTGATTGACATTCTTAAAGAACAAACAAATACTTGACATTGATGGACTAATATCCATTGTCTCTATGTATTTGTGAACAACTTTTACACAAATTTTATCCTAAAATTTCGATTTAGATAGATGCAACACTTACACGCTAAACCCATCCATGCACAAGGTCACTTTAGAATCTTAGATTAAACAAGAAGTACGAATGAAATTAAGGCTCTGTGTTTCAACGTAAAATATTTTTCTTTTTCAGGTAAAATATATTTTTTTATTTTTATTTTTCAATTCTTGACAAAAGTTTAGGTCGAGTTCATTGAGTGGGCATGTAAAATAACTTACCGAAAATTAATGGGTAAGTTATTTTTGTTAGATTTTAATATTTTTTTTCCTTTGTAAATATTTTACAACCATCAAACACAAGAAATAAAAAAAAATATACATTTAAAAAAATATTATACATCCAAACAAACGGAGCCTATTGTCCTATAAGCAACAAGATTGATACTTTGAGTAAGTGATTTAGCATTAGGAGATATAGGAATGTTAATCTCAGCAGCAAAGAAGTAATAACTAGTCCAATATTCATTGATGGCATTAGATTCCAAGCTATGCTTATGTGATCCTTTGTCTTCTTCCTTAAATTATTGCATCCAAGTGTCCAAGTTATTCTCTACTTGTGAAACTTAAGCAAAGTATCAACCAAACAGAATGTTGGAAAATCACTTTTTTTAACTATTCAAAGACAAATCAAAACCAGACTTCTAAATCTCCATACACTTCCTTATAAGCAACCCCCTACATACCCTATTTATCAACACAGCAGGTGAAAGAAGCTACTAAGGAAAGAGAACCCTCCATGAAGATTGACAAAGAGTTTTGTCACCCAATTCACCCACAACACAAGCTAAGGCTTGAATACACAGAGATTCCATTCAACTGCGATGGGTGTAAGGAAGCCGGCATTGGCCTCAAATATAAGTGCCAGCAGTGTGAGTTCGACTTGCACAAGGGATGTGCCGTGGCATCACCCAGCATCACTCATCCCTTCTACAACAAATGCGAGTTTCAGTTCTACCATCAGCCCCCTGGCTCAGTTATGAGGATATGTGATGCATGTAGAAAGGATGTCCTAGGTTTTGTGTACCATTGCAAGAGATGCGGCTTTGATCTGCATCCTTGTTGCGCGAATCTCCCCCAGGTGCTAAATGATGGGGAACGTAATCTTTATCTGTGTCTCAAGCTCTCAAGCTCATGTCATCGGTGTGGGGGCAAAGGACCTGGTTGGTCTTACAGGTCCCAGTGCAAGAACTATAATCTTCATGTGTCGTGTGTTAAGGAGATGCTTGTGGAGAGCTGGCAAGCCATGTCTCTCAATGTGGACAATAACAAGGTTACGGAGCTGCAGACCAGAATCCCAAGCCTTAAGGGGACACAGAGAAACCCTTACATGGAGAGGGGAGGAAAGGTGAGGAAAAGCTATCAGATGGCTGGCAATGCTGTTCGTGTTATTGCCTCTGCCATCCTTGGAGATCCTACCGCTATAATAGCTGCAGTTGTTGGGGGTCTCATCTCCAAATAAAAACCGTTCATCAAATAAAGCCTGCAACTACGCTTACTACTGGGTGTCACTGACTCACTGGTTATTGTTTTTTTTTTTCCTTCATAATTTACTCATTGGTTATTGTTGCCGTTCCTGGATTTCCTTTTTATTGTTTATTATATCAATATCTTATATGTAAAATAAAATTATGATTGCTTCTGGGACAGGGTCCTCAAACTGTAACCTGTATGAATGTATATGATAATAAAGTCACTTTGTTAAACTTTGTCTATGAGATTTCCTTTCCACCTGAAATTTTGGGAATATTCAAGATCACACTACAGAGTGCAAAATGTCGAGTAATTAACTAAAAAAACATTTCTAATTTTCTACAAGTTTGTTTAGCATCACTGAAATGCAATCATCAAATGATCTCGACAAACACACATGCCAGACTTGGAAAGACTTGAACAATACATATAAAGCTAATACTGAAAACGGCTCAACTGCAATGTAACATTCCGATTAATGATGATGTGGCATATTGTTGGAATTTCATGTTCTATCATCATAGCATTTTAAGCATGTATCTATTAATATCGTTAAATTCAAGGTAACATGTTTTTTTTTCAAAAAGAAGCTTCCTGTATGAAATATAATTAATTTGAGTTGCAGGAATGCTAGGTCTTTACAAAATTTCAATTTTCCAGTCTACTAAAACCAGTTTACAATTAACCTTTCGAAAAAAGAAAAACAGTTTACAAGTAATAGTAATTACAATTTCATCTAGTTGATAAAATTGTTTCATTGTTCTGCAAAATAAAACTAATATATTCTAAGATGGCACCATTATAGATCTATTCCCTCTCCTCTCCTTTTTATCCACTATTTTTTAGAAAGGCACTTCACATCATTCATATAGTTGGTTTGGTATTGTTTTAAGACAATCGTCTGCATATGAGTTTTCCATCCTGGTTATGCTTAAATGATTTTTACTGATTTTATTAGGCCAATCTAACATGAAATGGATAAAAATGTACTCTATTAGATATTAGGTGGGTATTATTATCTAAAGTGCCACTCTTTAGAGCTACAAATATTTCACTAGTCACTAACCTAGTTTTAAAATTACTATTATTTTGGCTTAGTTTACGCTATTTTGAAACAGGTCCAAGTTCTTTGTCTGAAGCTGCCCTTTCATGTACCTGAGCCTCCAGTAGAACTTATCAACAGCAATTAACCTTCGGTCCTCCGGGGCACAGATCTATGGACCTATAAACTATCAGAATTGCATGAATATGCAACTGCTTTATCCTAGAGCAAAAAAAAATTGCAGAACCTAGTTGCTTGTCTAACTACATGTTTTGCTACCTGTTAGGGTATTAGATAATGGTTCGCAGAAATAAAACTTCAACATAACCGATATAAGGACTTTACGAGGGCATAAATAATGGGTTCATATTGCAGTAGTAAGTAGTTGCATGTCTATTTCACTACATGTTCAAACTGCTGCTAAGACACATGGCTTAATCCTCATCAGTCTGCTCAGAATTGAATACTACAAGTTAAAGACGAAGGAAATATACTTAAACCATGAAAAACTCAGCTACAGAACAAAATAATGAACACATGAAAAATGGAAGGATATTCCACTAGTACCTTAGGCAGGTTGTCCAGATACACCAAACTTCGTTAGGAACTTCTTTTGATTACAGTCCAACATTTCACTCAAGCTACAATATATATTCCTCTGTTTCAGAAATTTTTGTCTCATCTCCAATCTCTTCTTCAAACCATGCCGAAAGAAGTCAGGATAATCAACAACTTCATCAATTTGTCTTCCCATTACCTCTACCAAAAACCTGATCCTTGGTTCTAAAGAGTTGCTGATGCTTTTGAACAGAATAGGGGGATAACCAGTCACTAAAGCTGCTATTTGTCTATCTTTAAATCCACATCCCCTTAGGTAAGTCAGATTAGGTCTGAGAATCTTGTCCACATCTCTACATAAAACTTCAGAGAAACCAATTGCCACTCTTTGAAGATCCAGTTCCATCAGACCTACAGATTTTAGAAACTCCAAAGTAGGACGTAGCCTTTTATCAACACTATAACCCATAATGAATGGGTTTTTAACCAAAACTTTACCAATCATCCCTTCTTTGGTCAGGCCGAGACTAGCAAGAAAATCCACAATTTGTGAAAGCTTTGACTCAATGCTGTAGCTGATGATTCTAGGATTAACCAATAGCATCTTCCCAAGTTGCTTTTCAGGAACCCCAAGAGCTTCAAAGAAAGCAAGGAGCGGACAAAGCTTCTCTTCCACACTGTGGGACAATATGTGAGGAAATTTGGTTATGGCAGAAGCAACATAGCTGGATTTTGTTCCGAGTGTTGCAAGGCACTGAACCATGGGTACAAGCTTCTCACTCAAACCAATAGTAAGGATTTTAGGGCACTTCAAAACAATGGAAGGAAGCTTTCTCTCTTGGATGCCAATGCTTCTCAAGTAAGTCCAATTTTCAGAGGCTCTCTCCCTTTCTGCGCCCTCAAGGCGCTTGCACTTTTTGAACATTTCATGAATACTTTTATCATCAAAACCTCTATCCTTGAAGAACCACATAATGCTCCCATTGTGGCTGTTGCTGATTTCCATACTTCCTAAGAAGATTTGGACTGGATTTAATCAAATATCAAACATAACATTATAGTTTTCAAAAATGTTAAAAAGGGCACATATAATCAAGATACATAAATGTAAATCACCTAAAAAAGGATAGAATGCTAGGTAAAATTATAGCCTCAATTTGATAGTCAAGGAAAACTTTTTCAATCCAATGCATACCCGAGTCATATGCAATGTTGAATGATCTCCTTGAGTTTAATAGAAAGCCAGTTAAATGCTTCCAGAAGACAAGAATAAGGAATTGACAAAGGCTCCTGATAACACTCAAATTTTTTTTTGTATAATCCCCATACTCACCCCAACTCACCTCCACCTCCACCTCCCTAAAAAATGAGAAAGTAAAAGTGCATTGCTCTAAAAACATGACTCGCTTCAATTTATCATACATGTGAGACAAACTCAATTATCCAACCAAACTAACAGGTAATGGAGGGTAAGAGGAAATTACCCACCTCAATTACTCTATGGTGCAATATATGAGACAATGAGTGAACAATGGCCACTAATTACATTCTCTAAGAACCCTTGCTAATGCCTGCCTAAAGCAGGCCTAAATACCCAAACCCCAATATATTTAAACATGTTCTATGTTGTGGTGGTGTCAATGGTTGCTCTGAAACCAAACCATCATACAATCTATTGTAGTTAAGCCAGCAATGCATGGTTGGGTAACAATTCTTAGAGTTAGCAAGAGTTGTTGAGGTTTTTCAAACTGAAGTAGAGAGACCAACAAACCATGTACTATAATATCATAATAGCATTAACCTCCATAAAAGGGGATTGACTAAAACTCAAGTGTGTGAAAAACACACTTTGATTACGGAGGTTCTGCAGGTTCAAGGTGCTGGTTTGGCTGACATTTTGGCTTGATTTTGGGCTGCTGTTGCTGCCTTATTGTTTTTCTAGGGATTGTTTTTGTTGGTTTTATTTTCTAATTTTGCCTTCAACTTCAATCTTCTAGTTCTTTGTATTTTCTGAGGGTATGCCTTCTGTCCATCTGTAAATATTTCTTTTTATTTATACAACACCAATTATGAAAAAAAAAAAAAACTCAAGTGTGTGTCTATATATACACACACAAACACACAAAAACACACACATATACATACATAAGCACACATTATCATTGAGGAGATAGAGAGCTCACAATTGATGACGATTCTTATTTTCAGAGATGAAATAAGACGAAAGAGTAAAGTAAAAGCAGAGATAAGTTCTATTTCCACATACCCAAAACTGAGATTCCAATCATCAAACAAAAATTTGGCGGCGCATAGTGACGATGAAGCTGCCCACCCAAAAACCGAACCCGAAAACAACAGCAAGAATTTGCAGTGCCTTTGCCTTATCTTTATGTTCTTCTTCAATCCAATAGATATATTGCAATTTTCTTTCCCATCGTTATCCTCATCTTTTTATTCAATTACTCATATAACCCCACTAGGCACTTCTTCTATTTCCAGCTTTGTGTTTGTATCTCTCTATTATTTACAAACATATCCCTCCATCATTTACAGTGCACAGTGCACACACTCCTCGTTCCCCCTAAAGCCTATGTTAACCCCTCCTCAGTATCATATAACATACATATTCATAAATAAATAAATATATATATATATATGACAGCTTTTGCAGTTTTAGTTGATGGGTTTTGTAGGGAAAGGGGTTTGGATTAAGCCAGAACAAAAATTGGATATTTGATGCAGATTATTTTATTTTATTTATTTAAATACCGTACTTATTTATTTTGGGGAAGCTATTAGAGTCTTTGGACATTAAAGAGCCGTTCTTGATTTTGGCAATCTTTGGTAACGAAAGGTCGTAGAGATCTTTCTAAGTTTTAAGTTGAGTGGTACATTATGTAAACGCTTCCTGCAATTTTATACCCATGAGACTAGAAAGAAAGAACATCCAAATTCATATATTTTTTCTGTTGCAACTACCTCATGTTTCTTTGCTAGCATCCAATTTGATTGATCTGCATGATGCAGCATGTTCTTTGACTTCTTTCATCTTGTATTGGGGAACTTCTCTTGATATATAAAATTGTGACTGTGTCAATGTTTGTTGATTTCATTACTGTAAAATTTCCTATTTGAATATATATATATTTTTGGCTGAATAAATTGGAATTTTTCATAAAAAAGCTTTACGTAAATGCGATTTTACAATGGTTTCAATCCAAAATGAAAACTAGAGTTATTCAATTCTGGTGTATTCTGCTCTAATAGAAAAACCTTTACACCTAGATCAACTGGTCATTGTCAGTTGTCATTTTTTCTCCTATTTGGAGAAGATTGTTTATTTATTTCTTGGGTCCAAGGATTGTGCCACACAATGGGTTAGCCCTCCTGCTCATAAACTTCCCAACCTAGGGTAAAGGCAGGATTTGATCCCAAGTTTTCGGTACGACTACTTAGAGATTTTACCAATTAAGTTAGCTGGTAGAGTGTATGATTCTCTATTTCTCTGTGGTGGAGATACTGAATTCTAAGGCTAGTGTTGGTGCTTTTACCTGAGCAGTGTACTTGGGATTGGCTTGTGATACATTTACTCCATTTTGTTAAGGACACAGGTCATCTTTCTCTCTTAATCATTCTTATATTAATAATTCATAGAGACACTTCTGAGTTGAACTTTGTAGTTTTGTATGATTGCCTAGTTGATATTTTCTGAAAATTTGACCAAGAAAAGACTTTTTTTTGACAAGCTTGGTGTTCTATTGTTTAACTGTTGCTTTCTGAGCCTCAGCTAATTTAACGTGAAATTATGCATAGAGTGAAGAAATATCCATTGTTGGATACAAGTTATTACTTCCATTCCCAGTTGTTACTTGATCAATTTTGCAACAAATTCACATGTCTTGTAGATGAACACGGTTATATGTGGAGCATTTTATCTTCTCATCAACGCAACTGCAGATAAGCTATTAAGCTCAAGACAGTCTCAATACTGTCAAGGTCGGTATGCACGCGGCTGCACACTGCTCATGGAGGTAGTATTTTTGTCAGTTTAATTGACCCTAGTTATTTTCTAGCTGCTCTTGTTCTCCTGCATCTTGTGTCTGGATATTTTTATTGGCATGACTATAAGCAAAGCTTCAGCAGTTAAAATTTTGTTCCTAATTGCTCAGCATAGCATATTTAGATTTGATATAAATTTGCAAAAGTTGGACCAAACAAAATGAACCAAATTTATTTTAGCTCTCAATATGGGATCTGAACTTCATCTCTGCTTCATTGTTCATGACCTACAACTAGAGGAACTCAAACTTATTAGAATCTGGTCATCTGATTGCTCTTAAACATCAATTTTGAATTATGCAGCTTGTTAGGGTATATTTACACAATCACTCTAATTATTAAAATCTCCGGTTTCCTATGGCCTCAATCATTTCTAAAAATTTGAAAATGCACTAGACTCCCTTGAAATTAGGTCTGGCTTCAAATTTCTACAGGCAGAGAGTGAAGGTATTGGGGAATATGAAATATCTTACTGTCATTTTGGTTTGGCATAAATCCTTCCAACGGCCATAAGTATCTGATAGAACCTATTATGAGGACCATCTCATCTCACTATGAGCTGGAGGACGCGTTTTTGTTGAGACTGTCCCAATGATGGCCTTTTCCTAATAATCATGCACCCTCTGGCCTCACCTGCAGCTGCATGCAGAGGTGACTTGTATTACAAAACCAAGCCTTTCGGACATATGTATGACAGCTCTGAAAACATCTTACCGTGTTCCCTAAGACCCGGGGTCGGCTTACTCCCCATTTCTATGCAGAGCTGCACCACGTGGTCGGTAGTAGTTTAATGGGGAAGAGAGAGTGAAGATGAAGGAGGTACTTCTCCCCTGCTTGAAGAGATGTAGGGAATTGTTAAATAGTTTTATTATTCAATTAAAATGCCCAGCACAGCCTATAAATTTAAATTCTCATAGAACAAGATCATCTTTGTGATTTGGTCGGCCTATTCCTTAGTTAAAACACTCAAAACCCAACATTTTTATAGGAATTTTTTTTCAAGGTGGACTGTCATTGAATTTCTAACAGTGCCTCTACTTGTTAGTTGTTACCAAGATGGCATTGGTAATTTAGTTTCATTCATCACCATGAAGGTAAAAATCGATTTTTCCAATTATTAGTAGACAAGTAAAGAGATGGAATTAAGTAATGCTACGAATGTTTTGTCACAATGATTAAAAGAGAGAAGATTGTGTGGGTTTCACCACCTCACACCCCTATTTCTTACTCAGTGCAATATCGTTGATTATAGACTTTTTCAATGAAATTAATGTGACAGTCAAGGGTGGAGGGAGGGGTAGGCCAGCAGGGGCAGGCCCCCCCCCCCTATAAAAAAAAAAAAAATAAATTAGTACACTTGGCCCCCGCAACATATGGAAGGAAAAGAAAAGGTAGGGCACCCGCCGCACATAGACTCTCTCAGTCCCTCTCCTTCCCCTTGTACCTGTTCCAGCAGCATGGCCACACCAATTCCACTCCCTCGTAATCCTCTTGTACCTATTGTTGTTGGGGTTGTCATTGCAAGTGGGGTATGTTTATTTTTTATTTATTTTTTTTCCCTTTGGATCATGAAATTTTTAGATTTTTTTTGTTTGACTAATTTTTTAATTTAATTTTGCTGGTGTGGTAATTGAATCTGATCGGTTCTATGTATTAAAGAATAATAATTTGTTTGTGGTTAATTCTGTATGAGTTGGTTTTAATGTTGATCCATGTTATTTTAGGAGTGGTCATTTGAAAAACAACAATCATGTTTGTTATATGTGTTAATTCCATATAACTTATGTATGAATATATGATTATTTATGCATTGTTTTATAGGCTGTAATTTTATTTTTTAGTGTGTGTGGGGTTTATATTGTTTAATTTAATTGATTCAAAGTAAATGTGAGGTCCATAAGGACTCTTTAATTACTTACCAAAAAGGAGAAAAGACCTCTTCAATTATGAAGCTCTATTCTTCTATTTTCAAAGAAACTTATGTCTAGAAATCCGTTATATGTTGCTCAATAAAATAAGTGATTTTGGATTGGAAATATGATTTTGACCTGGATACATATCCAGACTACCCATCAGATATTCAGATATGGCAACATCAAAACAAAGCATACTGATGCATATATTGCAGTGCTTTATTGTTCTATGATGTACGTACATTGTTGTGATGACCATGTGGGCGAGTGTGTCGTGGGCGGGTGCAAGACACTGACAGGCTACCACACTGGCGAGTTACGGGTACACAATCCCACATCGCCTGGGAAAGGGACAGGTGAAGTGCTTATATGTAGGTGTGTCACTCCAATTGGTATGAGGCCTTTTGGGTAAAACTCAAGAGCAAAAACTGTACTGGCTTAGGCCCAAAGCAAACAATATCATACATGGCAAATCTTGTGATTTGGCTTTAGGAAGAATATCTGCAAATGGGAGTCTAATATCAGGTTAGTGTTCTTAAGCAAAATCGTTTTTTTTTTTTTTTTTTTTTTTTCAATATTTTTCAAAAATAGATTTCCTCTTTTGCTAGTTGCAAGTGATTTTAGGATTTTTTACTTTAACAGTCATGACCGCAACCTGATTTTTTTCTTCTCTCTGCAATTCAGGTGATCATCTTGAAGATGTAAAAGCAATACTCAAATACTTAAATTAAAGAAGTGTTGTCGATGTCGAAACTTGGAAAACAAATTCTAAGCTCACAAGCTTGACTGTCACGGTACACTAGCTAATTCCATCTAATTACGTTGTCGTTGTCTTATGCATACTGTACATGCACACATTTTCAAGTTATAAAGTGTTTAGACAATGCACAAGCGCACAATTTATTATTTATCTCTGTCATATTTAACTAGATATAAGCCAATTATTGTTTTGTAAACAAATTGGTCAAATTTTGGCTAGATATATTTTTGTATGCTTCTAATTGATCATGAAATACTTTTAACTTAAAATATTATTATATTGATAAAACTGTTAATACTACGACCCCTACATTAAATCCTAGCTCCGCCCCCGGTGACAGTGATCACAACTATATATGTCATTCTTTTTGTATTAGTGCTATAAATACGGTTTGTTTATGTGAATAGATTTTAGGCTATATTTGGTAGGGTGGGTTTGAAGGGGAAGGATACGATTAGTTATGAGGGAAAGGGAAGGAAAGGATAATTTTAATTTGGTATTGTGTTTGGTTGATTAATAAAGGAAGAGAAAGAGAAGGACAATAATCATGTTTGGTAAAAGAAAGAAAAGAAAGAGAATTATTTTAATAAATTGACCATTATACCCTTCTATATTTTTATATATATATATATACTGTCTCTAGGCCCACAGGAAAAGAAAAAAAAAAATTTAGGGCAAATCATTTCAGCCTCCATATTCTCGTTCTCAACTCTGATATATATATTTATATGTGTGTGTGTGTATTTATATTGTCTCCTCAGACCCATAAGAAAAGAAAAGAAAAAATTTAGGGCAACTCATTTCAGCCTCCCCAATCTCGCTTCAATATATATATATATATATATATGTATATATATATGTATATTTATATTGTCTTCTCGGGCCCACAAGAAAAGAAAAAAAAATTTTTTTAGGGCAACTCATTTCAGCCTCCCCAATCTAGCCTCTATCTCCATTCTCGTTCTCCAGTCTGAACTTGCCCTCTCTCTCTCTCTCTCTCTCTGTGTGCACTACAAGAATCAGAAGTTCAAATCCCATATATTTCAGTTTACCTATCTGTCTGCAAGAATCAAAAGTTCAAAACCCCTATCGGTATATTATTTCTGATTGTTCAGAAAATCAAAACTCATATCTTTCAATTTCCATCGCCGCTGTTCCAGTTCGGGTTCACCGTTCGCAAGCTTCAGCCGCTGGCCCGTCGTCTCTCACTCTCTCTGCAGCTGCTAACTTGTATATATATATAACCTTGAGGGTAAAATTAGTATCATAAATATTGCTTCAGCCATTGACTTTCTTTTCCTTCCATTTTTTGAAGAATAAGCAAATTATTGTGCGAAGCTATACTTAACCCTCCAAAGCCTTCCCTCTCATTTCATTTCCTTCCACCCATTTTATTCAAACATAATTTTTTAATCACCCTCCATCACCTTCCCTTCCTTTTCATCCCAATGTCACTCTACCAAGCTGAGCCTTAGTGAATTAGGTAGGTGGTCTGTGTCTCGATTGTTGTTTTTTTATTACAAAGAAAATTGAAGACTGGTGGGCTGTGGGGTCGGCGCCGGCCTTGCACACTGCTAATTTCAAAACTCAAATTACATAAAAAAGGATACTAACCCCACATGAAGCACAAAACTTGGTCTTTTCTTAATACTATAATGTTTCCTCTTTCTTAATTAATGTACATATAATATATATATATCTGAAATTCCTCAACCCAAAAAAGTCAAAGGTTAGCTCGTACTAGAAAAACTAATCACAAAACCAAGAAGCAACAGTTGACTCCACAAGCTAACTGCCATATAAAGGGAGGTCTGTTTCCATTTTCCCTCACTTCATATTTCACCTCTGCACTCACCTTCATAACAAGCTCAAAAGAAATCAGAAACACTCTTCTTCTCTGTTAAGACAGACAAATATGATTTGTTTGGCGTACTCTGGGGGAAGTATGAGCAATGTAGCCCTCATCTTCTACACTTGTTTATGGATCCCATTTCTTCAAATTAAGTTGGCTGTCCTAGGTATTGTTGGCTTCGTGCTCTACCCATTTTCAGAGAGGTCACGAATTGTGCAACAGAACGGATGCTGCTGTGTTCCGGTGGCGAGGTTTGAGGATGTGAAGAAGTGCATGAGTGGCGGGAAAGGTGGTAAGGAGGAGGAAGACGTGGTGTGCTCCATCTGCTTGGTGGAGTATGAGAAGGAAGATGTGGTGAGCCAGCTGCCAAAGTGCGGGCACTTGTTCCACATGGCGTGCATCGAGAGGTGGCTGGACCGGAACCACTTCACCTGTCCACTCTGCAGGTCTCTGTTCTTTGCATGCTGATGCTGGTGCCTTCCCATGCAAAATGTATTGTTAACAGATTTACTATTTCTTTGATTCAGAGTTAGTTATTTATAAGCCGAATCTTCAATTGAGTAGAAGACCATTTTCTCATACTTTTTTATTTAAAGTAGTGAGATATTCTCTCGGACTCGAAGTAGACAAAAAGGGGTGTCCAGCCCACAATCATGTGAGTCAAACCTTCCTTTTGTCTTTGTTCAATCTATTATTACAATTGGATAACCAATAATTTTCTTTTAAGATTGATTAGTAAAGGCTGAGAAGATTTTTTTTTTATTTTTTTATTTTAATAAATATTGATTAGATGTAATCTACTTCTTATACTATAGATTTAGGGTATCAATTTGCACTAAATCAATCAGTTATTGGCAGTTAGGGGTTGAACATTGATGGACTAATTTGAAATCTTTGAATCAAATATGATTTTTCACATGTTTGAATGTTTTTTTTTATTAGTTAATAATAAACTTGAATTTAGTTCCATTTAAGTTTGGATTGATATGTTAGATATATAACCAACTCGATTCAAATTGGAGATCTAGTCGAACTTAAATGGCGGTTAGATTATATATATGTGTGTGTGTGTGTGTGTGTGTATATATATATATAGTATTATACACAGTCACACACACTAAACTATAACACATTACACTTTGCAATTTTATTAAGGAGGAGACTTTTAATTATTATTGTTTTTGTGGAAGATGGGCAAGTACTTTGAACCCATCTCAAGCTTCTTCTTCTTCTTCTTTTTTATTTATATTTATATTTATTTATTTATTTATTTTTATTTATTTATTTTTATTAGATTAATTTAAATTACAACCTAATCTTTTCAGATTTGAGTAAACTAAACTCCTATAAAGGATGTTGGGTTGAACTCATATTAATGAGAATTTCTGGAGTGAATATATATATATATATATATATCATATTGATGAGCTGACCTTTTTTTTTCGGAGAATATATTAATGAGATGACCTCTCAATAAAAAATATGTATATGTATACTTGCATGAAGCATAAGCATTTTAAGTGGGCTGTGGACAGTTGATATCTATAAGATGTTGAGGACTTTTCCATCCCTATATTATTAATTTGATTATATTGGCTGTTGACATTAATGCCTACATGCATATATGCCTTTGTTGATACGAGGACTGTTAGGTCAACCGTTGCACTCCCAGCCTTCACAATTTCTTATTCCATTTCAATTTAAAGTTTACGATTTTTTTTTTTTTTCTTTCGGTTGTTAGGAATGCATCAGAAAACACCCAAAGAAAATAATAACTAAATAAATAAAATTTTCATCCAAAAACAAAATAGAAAATGGTGGTAAGCTGAACTCGCTTAGAGCCAACAAGGTGGATTTTGTTCAACTTGACCAGGTAAAAATATATATGAAGGAAAAAATAATAATAATAATAATAATAATAAAGTGAACCAACATTAAGGGAACGTTTAAATTATTAAAAATGCTGTTGATTTTAAAGAGATTCAAATATTCTGGGTTATTTTGGAATTGGCAAGATGAGGTTTTTTTTTTTTTTTTTTTTTTTAATTGCTTGTACAATTTTTTTTATTCTGGGGAAGACATTGCCTGCTCTCGTTGAAATAAAAGATCCAAAGATGTTTAGTGGATTCATTAAAAATTAGATGTGGATTTATGAGGGAATGATATTTAAGTTATAGTTATTTGCATCTTCGATTTGATTAGCAGCTTCAAGTCAATGAATGGTTTGATGAATGCGATGCTCCATTTGTTTAATAGTACTCTTCCTGCGGCTTGCATATCTCAACCATCGCTTCTGTATTCTTCCGGAATCCTCATCCTCCTCTTTGCAGTTGTTTGCTTCGACCCACATCTTTTCAATTTCTTCACTGCACAATCTGTTGAAATCAACACAACCTCTCTCCTCTCTCCTCTCTCCAGAACATTCTCTTTAAATCTCTCTATAAAGTTCCAATAATTTCTCCTCCTCCTCCCCATAAATATCTCTCTCCTCTAGAGATATCTGTCAAATTTTCAACACCAATCCAACTGACTTTGTAAGTTGGTGAATGCAGTATAAATAGGAGATTTAGTCTCCCGTTTATGTGGTGGTTGGTGGGAGTGAGTTGTAAACTTCCAAGTATTTGAGTCTCAGAGCTTTGGTGGTAAGGTATCTAGAAGTGACAGCATTTAAAACTCCTTTAAAATTTATTTCAATGCCCACTTTTATTTGGATCTATTTGATTCATTCCTGCTCTTACAAATATATTGAGAATAATGAAATTCATAACACGCAGTTTCAATCCCAAACAAGATCGGTATGTCAAGTAATACTGTTGGTGCTACATAGACAATTGTTACACTCATCAGATTAGGCAGGTCCGTTACAAATAACAAGTACTATGTGATTCATTCTTTACCGGCATCTTAATACCAGAAATAATACATAGACATTTGTTTTTGTAGTTTTCAATTTTTTTTCTGCTAATTTCATGTGCTGGAATTGGCAAAATGAGTTTTGACAATGAAACCATTCTTGATTAACTATATTCTTGCAATATTTGCATTCCGGGTAAGCCATGGCCTCTTGAAACATATGAGAAAAAGAGGACTTGTTGAAATAAAAGATCCAAACATACTTAACATTGAGCAAGCAATAAACTGAGTTCTTTAGAAATTAGGTGTGCATATATGAAGGAATGCATTAGGAATAATTTTCCGTTTCTGAAGTCGCATTGGCACAATACAAGTGAGTACTTTAGAGGTAAGGAGTAAGGACTTAGGAGACGTTAGGAATAGTTCCTAAGCCAAAAACATGGAGTTTTGAGTTCAATAAACCACAAATATGGACATTTCAGGCAGCTTGGTTTAATTTTCCCACCATCCTTCGCCGCTCAAAGTATCGGGTCCAACCGAAAATTTTGGACCTATCACTCAGACCCTTAACTACTACACACATGAAAAGGCTGAAATTGATTACTATGTGTTATGCAGAAATCTAGACTTTAAGAGCAGAAAAAGATGGACTAACCACCGAGCACTTTCTTAAGATTGAAAGGCATGTACAAAGAGATACCATATATTACAACCATCAACTATTAATAAATGATATAAAATGTCAAAACATAATAATAAATTTGAAATAAATACGATTTGTTTAGGACTGAAATTTTTTTGTGACAGATGTGTACAAAATGGTAGACCATCGTATGTTCTGCTGCAATTAACTGCTTAAGGAATGTTAACCTATCCTTTAGATTCGGCAAGTTCAACATCTTTCACCACGGTTTCCTCCAATCCCTCTTTTAACAATTTAACATCCTCGTCTGACAGAATGTCTTTCATGTTGGGGATGATCTTGGTGACATCACCTTGCTTCTCAACCTCCATTGCCCAACTGTATATTACCATACCAAGAACTGCAATAGCCATTCCAAGGATGTTCTTCACTGTCAGCTCTGAATCAAATAGCAGCCAACCTAACGGCAGGATGCAAACTGTTTTCATGTGGCCTAACACCTGGAAGGAGACTGCAGAAAAGCGTCCAATACACAGGTACATGCTCACATTGCAGAATACCACTAGAGAGCATGAAAGCAGAATGAAGAACTGCAAATTTGAGATTAAACCATTCAACAACATACACAAAATCTCTTTTATCTAAATTGGACACGACAGTCTTAAAAAATGAAGAGTACTTACAAATGCACCATAAGACAAGTTATAGTTCGATACAAATTGGCCACTAAGAGAGTAATCAATGAAAGGACCAAACACAAGTAGACAAATTGCTTGTATGGGGGCTGTCTTGCTCGATCAGCAATTCAAAAGAGCCTATTGGGTATTATTGACTGTTCCAAGAAAAAAAAAAAAAAAGAAGTAATTTCTAAATTGTTGCTGTAAAAAAAGTAATAATAAATAGTCCTTAACTAAAACCAAAACTCAAGCATGAGAACATCACTGAAAGCAGCCACTCTGTGCAAATAATGCCAAAATGGTAATGACAATTATAATTTGTGCAGAGAGATAAAATTGGTTAAGATAGTATGGATGTCCCTTGGAAGTACTTTGCTGCCTATACTGATTACAGATTTACAGCACAATTACAGCAATTTGTACCTGCCAAGTTCTAGAACAAATCTGATAAAAGTAAACGCAATATTTCGCATGGTCTCGTAGTCCTTATCGTTTAGTGCCACACCCACCTACAACAACCACCGCCACTGCCACCTTGACTTCCCTCGTATAGTTTTTGCCGTGAAGAATCCATTCCATCACACAAACCACTGGAATCATGCTTAACTTCGAAATCTGCACAAGCAAAAACACAAATTTTCTCCTCCCTTTTTGATGGGAATTGGAAATACTAAACAAAAGGAAAAGGAGTACCAGATAAACAGTGAAAGATCGAATTGAAGAAATAAGAATAACTCTAAATAATATGTAGCTGATAAAATCCTACAAATCCTACAGAGTTTAGCATGAGGATGAAGTTCATCCCTGGTAACATGCTTTGACGCATATAAAATGCTAACAACACTACATTGATAACATGCACCACATAAATATAATTTGCATACATAATTGCAATCAAGATCGACCCTATTTATTTCTATGTACATTATTCGACTAGCAACTAGAATGCTCACTCAGGTCACAACAAATTTAAAGGGAAAATGGATTTTCAAATTGAAGGTGGGTGACTAGACCCTAGTGCCAAAGCATGAAGCACACGACAGCAAACACTGCAACATTGTATAACATGAATTAATGGTATTTAAGCATTAACCGAAAAAAAAAAAAAAAATTACAGTTTAGATAAAAAAGATCGCCATGGTAGATGGAGTTGAGGCTGCTCTCCAGGACATCCATCTCGTCCTTTCAATTATCTGCATCTTCGATTTTGTTATGAAATATGGATCCAGTAGGAGTTTAATTATGAGAACAAAAGAAATAATAAATGACAAGGAAAAAAAAAAAAATAGCGCACA